AGTTTTATACATATACACCACTCCTAAAAACAGACATTTGAAATATATATATATATATATATATATATATATATATATATATATATATATATACCTATTTCATGGAAATAACTACCAAGGATTAGGGGTGCAATGTGATGGGAATCTGTTTCCAGCACTCAAAGGTGTTGAAAATTTTGATAGAATGGCAGTAATAGTAACTTTTTAAGGCAAGGAGCAATTGTTGGGGGGGGGGGTCAATGAAATCCCAAAAATCATCAGGAGAAGAGCTAAGCCACCAAGCACTAGTGATAAATGGGATATAACAGGCACAATTCAGGCACTATATTGTGATACGACAGCCAGCAACATAAATCTAGTAAATGGGGCCAGTTTAAATCTTTAAAAAATTGTTCAATCGTGCCTCGTTGCACTTCTTCTGTCGTCACCAAGGTTTTGGGGTCACTGTTGAAGAGCTGTTTCGACTCACTGATTGGGTGCAACTTCCTGGTCCAGACATGGAGCTTTTCAAAAGATTAAAAGAAGCCTGGGTCTAACACGACAAGAACGGTTACATAACTGATAGCAATGGAATGTCTGGTACCAATGGAATGTCTGGTGGCAATTAAATGCCTGGTAGCAATGGAAAAACTGATAGCAATGGAATGTCTGGTACCAATGGAATGTCGGGTGGCAATTAAATGCCTGGTAGCAATGGAAAAACTGATAGCAATGGAATGTCTGGTGGCAATGGAATGCCTGGTAGCAATGGAATGCCTGGTAGCAATGGAATGCCTGGTAGCAATGCAATGTCTGGTAGCAATGGAATGTCTGGTGGCAATCAAATGCCTGGTAGCAAGGGAATGCTTGGTAGCAATTGAATGCTTGGTAGCAATAGAATGTCTGGTAGCAATGGGATAACTGGTAGCAATGAAATGCCTGGTAGCAATGGGATAACTGGTAGCAATGGAATGCCTGGTGGTAATGGCATAATTGGTAGCAATGGAATGCCTGGTGGTAATGGCATAATTGGTAGCAATGGAATGCCTGGTAGCAATGGAATGCTTGGTGGCAATGGAATGGCTGGTAGCAATAGAATTCCTCGTGGCAATGGCATGTCTGGTAGCCATGGAATGCCTGGCAGCAATAGAATTCCTCGTGTCAATGGCATGCCTGGTAGCCATGGAATGCCTGGTAGCAATGGAATGCCTGGTGGCCATGGATTGCCTGGTAGCCATGGAATGCCTAGTTGCCATGGTATGACTGGTAGCCATAGAATACACCCAATGACGTCATCCACAAAGACCTTTCTACATGCAATGGTGATCCTGGTTACAAAGGCGGATTTGAAAAAACAAACTTCGAGACGACAATTTGTTGTGAATGATGGGTTCAGACCGTGTTAACTCTTGGACGTGATATTTTAATCAGATGTCAAAACATGTTTTCTTCTTTCAAAATTGTGTGACGTCAGAGCGATGTCGTGACATGTTTTGCGTGTTATTATTAAATGCATTTATTACCCTGATACATTGTCTTTTTTTTTAACCATGCCCCAGGCTAGAACTTTTTTATTGTGATCATGCACCAATCGCATCAAATAACTTCCATTCTTAACGAGTTTTTGTTTCAAGACGGAGCATGTATCGACTGTACAAACATGCTGAGGTTATTTCTGAACTGTGAGATATTTATGTAACACGTTGATTATTTGGTTATTTTCTCGGTGGTGTACAAAAAATCTCGACCAACATGGAGACCTCTGCCTCGATCAACGTCACTGTCGTCTTGACAACGTTACAAAAGTCCGCGCCATTCGTGCCGCCTGATAAGATCGTCACCGGACAGATGAGAGTGATCCTGGAGATCGTGTTTGATCTGTGCATCTGCGCCAGCTTGTGTCTCGTTGGCGTGGTCACGAACATCCTTGACCTCGCTGTGTTTTCCAAACAAGGCTACAAGTCAACGGTGAACATCTCCATGTCCTTCATCGCGTTCTTCGATCTCATCAAATCGTCTGCCGGTCTGGCCCACCGTCTTTACGGACCGGTCCTCCTTTTCGACGTGGTCCTGGCCAAAACGTGGGAGAACTACACGCGCGCCAGCCTCGCCTTCGTTCAGACTTTTGCCGTCTACATCTCCAGCGTCCTGGCGGGCTACGTGGCCGTCGAGAGATGCCTCTGCGTCCTCATCCCGTTCACGGTTAAATCCATGCTGACGCCGAAGTTCACGTGGATCACGATGACGGTGGTGTCCGTCGTCGGCAACGGCTCTTTCTGGGTCGTGTACGCTTTCTACGACTACGCGTGGGAGTACAATCAAGCGTACAACCGAAGCGTCGGCAACTACAAGTTCAGCGACTTCTACAAACGCAACGTCGACGTCGTTGTTCCGTATTACAACACCATCGGCATCCTGTGGCCCTTCGCCAGCCTGGTCGTGATGTCCGTTAGTACGATCATCATCGCCTACCAGCTCGGGAAATCCTCGCGGTTCCGCAATTCCAACAAACCCGGCACCAAGCATTCGACCAAACAGGCCGCGGTGGCCAACGTATCTAAGCTGAGCACCCGTGACAAGCAAGTGGTCAAGATGCTGATGGCCATCATTCTGGTGTACATCGTGGCCTTGTCCCCGAGGATAGCTCTCTTCATAGCAAAATTTTTCGAACCGGAACTCTATTTGCTGAAAACCTATCACAACCTCTTCTTTGTGCTCGCGTACTCTTGCTTCATTTTGGACTTCATCAACTCGACCATCAACTTCTTTATCTACATGTCTATGAGCTCACAGTTCAGGGCCACTTTGTACGAACTCTTTAACAGGAGCGTAAAGACGGCGTCATAGAGTGAATTTTGTTGTCCTAGAGTGAAATTTGGCGTCCTACAGTGAATTTAGCGAGACTGTTGAAATTCAAAATACGCAAATTCTACTGTTGGGGCATTTTACATTTATTAAATTGCTCCGAAATATCTATGGACCTTTTCCAGGCTACTTCACGTGCTTACATTCTCCTCTATCTATGAAGAAGTTTACCCGATATTATCATGATTTACTTTTAGGAAATGTCTCGATTAGCGGATTTTTACTTATTTTTTTTTAAATCAAACATTGAGTTTGATGAAGTTCAATATTTTATTATTTTTATTTTAATTTTTTTTCATACAAAAGTTGACTTTTTTTTTTTAAAATTACTATTATAATTTTCGTATCTTTTCAGTGTTAACATAATGCTTTATGATGTTATGATAATGTCTTAGTATAAAAAAAAAAATACTTTTTACTTTTATGAAATGTTTCGATTAGCGGATTTTTACTTATTTTTTTTTAAATCAAACTTTGAGTTTGATTAAGTTTAATATTTTTTTATTTTTTTTTTATTTTTTTTTCATACAAAAGTTTATTTTTTTTTTTTAAAATTACTATTATAATTTTCGTATCTTTTCAGTGTTAACATAATGCTTTATGATGTTATGATAATGTCTTAGTATAAAAAAAAAAATACCCAAGTCATAGAGTCGTGTTTGTTTACTTGTTATTTCCAAGAAAACTAGAAACTTTTTCAAGAATTGATGGGATCTTAGAAACAACACCCAAATACTTAGAGCATGAAGTTACAAGTTTTATCGTATTCTTATTCGGGTGTGTGGTCCATGTGTGATAAAAGCAGTAAAACATACGATTTTAATCATTCTAAACACAATTATATTTTTAAAAAAACACATGTATTTTGTCCGTGTAATATCCCTTCGTGGGCTACATGTCATTAAAAATAATAAATAAAATAAATGATGTACACAATCATTTATTTATTCTGCACATATTTATCAGAGGACAACACATCTACCCATGCCGCAACACACAGAAATAAATTATGTAAATCGAATGATAGCGCTTTAATCAAATATAAAGTGCAAAATGGACCCAGGCACGCAATTATCTTTCATTTGATACCTCATTTTTGTCTTACATTACTTACAAACCCAACAATAATATTTTAAATAGTTTTTTTTTAATCCCAACCTCTCACTTCTGGTACCCGGGTACGAATAGTCGCAGCCTTTAATGAATGGCCATAGAGGTTCTTTTTTTTAATATAAATTATCTAAATTATTGTTATTATTATTATAAAATAGAGCAATTGTCCAATGGGATATACATGCATTCAGTTGTGGTGCAGGAAAGAAATTTTGTGAATCCCAACGATCCAGGTGTGCACACAAAAAACATTTGAAAATATGTATATTTGGAAGCTCACCAAACGTAACTAAAAAGACAGTACGGAACAAGTGAAAGGCTGCATTGTTTTCATCATATTTAAAAAGGAATTTCAGCTCTATTGCCATAAGACAAAAATTAAGGTGTTCAGCGAACTTTTGATTGTGTTAAAAGGGCGATATCCTGTTGTTTTTTTTTTTTTAAAGTTTTTAAGTTTCTGTATTTTCTGATAAAAGTTAAGATTTTTCAATTTTTCATTTTTTATTTCACAACTTCTAAGTACTGACACTATGTGTTTGAAAACAAATATTTTTAGAAACCTTATGAGCCTTATGCATTTCCCCACAATAATATATAAAACATCATGAATTTTAGACAAGGATTTTAAAACTTATTGACTCTTTTTTTAAGGTCCATAGAAATCTCATGAAAAACATGCAAAATTCAAGGAATGTAAAAAATTAAGGTGTTCGGCTAACTTTTGATTGTGTTAAAAGGACGATATCCTGTTGTTGTTTTTTTTTGTTTTTTTTTTTAAGTTTCCGTATTTTCTGATAAAAGTTAAGATTTTTCAATTTTTCATTTGTTCTGCACCATTTACTTTTAGTCTTGGTTTTACCGGTAGCTGAGGGTGACTTTTGGAGACATCGATGTTGCATAGTGTATACTATAATATTAATCTTCCCTCAGATTTTTACTGTTTTCAATATTTCTATGTTCCATGATACACATTACATCTTTTTAACAAAACAATTATTTTCACGCTATGTTGGCAACGTTGGTCTATTTATGAAGAATCATCCCACAACGTCACGAATTTGAAAAAGGGCACCTGGGGCTAAGAAAATAGCCCACATATTCATTTATATGGAACAATGCTACAATCTGATAGTTGCGCCAAGGGCGAGTTACTCTGGTGAAAAAAAAATAATTTGCAGAAATTAAATCAACACCCTATTTATAGTAAAGTAATTTGTGAATTAATTTAAAAACCGTATATGAAAGAATATCAAATTTTATTTGTAAACTAGACCATTAGTTCATAATAATGAACCTATAACTATAAAAGAAATTTAAAATATGTGTGACCTAAAAGTTTAAAATTGTAAACCTACCACTGGTTTAGAAAGAATTACCGAACACCTAGATATAATTAAATAAAGTTATAAAATAAATACGTTTATGTACATTTGAATAACGAGTGGCTCTAGGTACCCGGGTACTTATAGCAGCAATTGGCTATTCGGACCCGGCTGGTCACGTGAGGGCTTTATAATATTCGGTTGGTCACGTGACGGTTATCACGGATATTTCCTGTTGGGTTGTCTTAGAGCCATTACCACCAATCGAAAAATTTACCATATTTTGAAGACTTTGCATGAACTGGTTGTGACGTACAGCTAAACGCAAGTAAGAATAAGTTTATGTTTATAATTTTATTGTATTTTTTAATTCTATTTTAAATATAGTTCTATAGGTAATCTACCACTTGAGCGTCGGCCAAGAATAAATCCAGCACCCACGTCTTTTCAATTTTGCTCTAATAAGCCACATTCTTTGTGCACTGTAAAATAGCACTTTTTAAACAATGTAATCGATTTTTGAAACCTTATGCCTTATACTTATACAAGAAGACATACCTCATTAACTTCACCTGACTCTATCAAAACAATATTTAATTGATACAGCATAGACGCTGCACAAAACCAACTGCTACTTTAATAAGTATAAGAACAGAGTACCAAGTAGGTTGGAGAACTAGTGAAAAATACCAACTTAATTATAAATGGCTTGCATTAAGTCCATTAATTTGTTAACACTTCAGGTTGCAGCAGGACACAGTCTGGGAGCCTCTGTCCTAATCAATTACATGCCATAATAAACACATATCTTTACATTTTCTCTTAACACCTAGTCCTAGCATCATCCTAATCCCCCTTCCAATAATAAATATTAGTATCTTGATCCTTTGAAATTTGAATGCACTTTATATAAAGATAAATCCCGCAAGTGCATGTAAAAAATATCAAAAGACTATTGGAATGGTTAGTTTCACTGATTAGGTTAGGGTAAAGTCTTGCACATTCCTAATTTAGTTAAACGAAGTGGTTATGCGCAGCCGACTGCGTATAACCCTGAGAGTTATACGCAGTCTGCAAGTCACGTGACGTCTATATTCTTCCTGTGTTACAGTATCAATCAATAAGGGGGCCTTGCTATTGGGGTGACTGTGTGGTCGAATGGTCTAAACTGACCAAACCTCAAGTTGATGGTCTGGAGTTCAATTCCAGCCAACCGCAAGCCATGAATACGCGTTAGTTGCTATGCTTTTTCTCGAGAATGAAGCAACAACTAGGCTTATTGTTTTACTTTTTTTTTGGCTAAAAAATGTTAAAACATGAGAAGAATTATTAACTTGACCAATGTAATGTTAATAATGTTATACTTATAATTATCAAATATATGTTTGTGTTGTTAACTAATTTTGTGGCAGATAAAATCATGTTTCACTGGTACAGTAATAAAAATAATCATGGGTTGAGAGTAGCAGTGACTAGTAGCAGGAAAAAAATCGCTGTAGGGGCAGGGGTTCTGTAGAGGGAGCACTGTAAGTAATACTTTCACACAGTTATAGTTTTGCATGGAAGCTGAAAACTGTTACATTTAGGTCATCAAAAGAAAAAAATCATAAATGATAAAATTTAAAAAAAAAGATAAATAGAATGTATTTCCTGAATTAGTCAGTAAAACTAACCACATAGTCATAGCAACATATAAAAACCTAATCAATCAAAATACATAACTAGACTTAGACCATGGAAATGCCTTTAAAAAAAATCTAAGACTTAGGCTTAGACTCTAAGAAATGTAGACTTTGACTTATACTTATAATTATAATATATAAGATACAAGCAATAATACTAATAATAGCACTAATACTAATATTATTGCTATCATCAATTTCAATATTAATTAAAATTAATTCTATTAAAATTTTACGTTAAACACATTCAAAGTTCTAGTTCAAAACAACCCATCATGCAGCTCATTACGCATAATACTTTTTTTTTAAATTGCCAAACAAGCGATTAATAAACCTTATTTGGCTAAAATCCTAGCCGACTGCGTATAACCCTGAGAGTTATACGCAGTCGGCTGTGAATAACCCTCAGGGTTATGCGCAGTCGACTGCGTATAACTCTCAGGGTTATGCGCAGCAGACTGCGTATAACGCTTCCTTTAGTTAAAATTAGATAAAAATTCCTAAAAAATCTAAATTTCCTTCTGACATATTGAGTTCATTTTTGCTGTAAAAGAAATGATTGAAAAATTCAAAAGAGTTATTTAGATGGATTGCTTCTTATATTTAGATTCATCAGTCGCTATAGCATATATTTTTTTGGTTAAAATCATAGTAGTAATAATCAAGAGTTACATCTTGCAGGTTAGAATTATATTACCATTGATCTGTGACAAAAAATCTTATTTAAATTTTTAAAGATTCACTACTGTAATGCAGTTGTAGTTAAAATCTTGCACTGAGCTTGACGTGACCATTTTGAAGGTTTTCTTTTGTTCATTTAACACCACCTCCCTAATTCCAATAGTGGTTGGACTTTAACTATTTA